AATTCACAGGCCAAGGCATCTTGTCTCCACCTGGTGGTGGCTTCTGAAATTGCAGCTGAATGGTGTAGAGTAGAGACTGACACGGGAGTGGATTTTCACTCCTGTCCCGTCCCACTCCCACAGAAAAAAATTGTGTCCCGTCCCGATCCCGGGCCAGAGTAGAAATCTAAATCTTGTCCTGTCCCACTCCTGGTGAAATTACTCCCGTTAATGTTTAATCCTGTACCGTCCCAATCACGTGATCGTTACTAATACTGACTTCCATCCCACGAGAATCCCACGGGAATCCCGTGACCCGTGGGATTCCCGAAAAAATCTCAGTCTCTAATATATAGTTAAATAAAATCTCTTTTAATTTTTTTGTCAGAACTCTGGCTGCAGCATTGTGGATCAGTAGAATGCTTTCAGTAAAGAATTACAATAGCCCAGCAACATTAAATCCTTCCTAAAACTGCTGTTAATCACACCTCTTTTTTTCTTCTCAACTGTTACCCACTCATTACTCCATCCAGACAGTGTTTTGACAAAATTCTAATAATTTAGAAAAGATTCCCAAAGGACTAAATCATGATAATCTAATTAAAATTGAAATAACTTCAACTGGTGAAAAAGTTAAAATGATTAAAGGTGGTTTATTTAACATAAGATCTCTTTCTCAAAAAATGACCTAGTTAATGACTCGATTTGTGATAATCACATTGATTTATGTTGCCTTACAGAAACCTGGCTGCAGCAAGATCATTATGTGAGCATAAATTAGGCAACTCCTAGAAGTTATTTAGATTTTCACATACCCAGAAGTTCTGGGTGAGGAGGAGGAGTGGCGGCACTCTTTCAGACGTACTGATTACTCGAAAGACAGTTAATATTTACAACTCTTTTGAACATTTAACCCTTAATTTCCCTGATCCAAATTTCAAGGCAAGAAAACCTCTTCTTTTTCTAACTTTGTATTGTCCACCAGGTCCTTACACTGAATTTTTAGAAGAGTTTTCAGAGCTCCTTTCTGACTTGGTGTTAAATACTGAAAATGACAGTGTCATCGTAGTGGTGGATTTTAACATCCATGCTGACATTGAAGGTGATAGCTTAAGAGCAGCCTTTGATGCTATCTTAGACCCTGTTGGCTTTGTTCAAAATGTGAATAGTCCCACACATTCTCATCTTTATACTTTGGACCTTGTGCTGACATATGGCATAGAATGTGAAGAAATAACACTATTTCCTCACAACCTTGTCCTCTCTGTCAACTTTTTAATAGCTTACTTTAACATAGTCCTCCCCCAAAAGAAGGTCTCACTTTAGCAGACCATTATCAGATAGTGCACTTATAAATTTTTAAGAATCTCTTTCACTTCCCCTCTCTGTGTTGCTGAGCAGTCCTGCAGAATGCAAAAGCTTAGTTTATTCCCCTTCACAGGTTGATGATTTTGTTGATGAGGTTGCTAGTTCTCTGCATATTGCCGTAGACAACGCAGCCCCTTGAAAAAGGAAAAGGTTAAAAATAGAAAGCTGACTACTTGGTTTAATGCAGAGCTGCGCACTTTGAAGCAAAATGCTTACACACTGGTGTAAGGAGTCAGGCACTCATTTAGCAACTATTTTTTTCAAAAATGTAAGATAAGAAATGAAAATTAGATAAAGATCTACAATTGACCAAGTCATTTGGGAGAGAGAACATTTTTTATGTAAAGGTTTAATTGCAACTACCTTAAAATCCAGCAGTGTATATCCTTGGAACAAGAAGAGATTAATTTTGTCTAAAATGGAGAAGGACACCATAATACTCCCTTAAAGGATCTTATATGCCCTGTGTCTGATTTTAGTTTTATTCATCAAAATAAATTACTCACTAATTGTGCGTATGCAGGAATCCACACATTTTTCATGTAGGCTTCTAACTTTGACATGGAACTGCCAATGGGGATCATTTTGTAAAGCTTCCAGTTTCCTCAGACAGGTGTTTTCTCCAAGTGCGCACATGCCATGTCTTTTAAAGAGAGAAGCATGATGGCAAACAAAGAGAATTGGGTTTATGCCACTGGCTGTGACTGCATATACAAGAAAAATGGAGTAAGAGAACACAAGAATGACCAAAGAAGAAAAAAAGCTCTTGTAAATCTTGGGCCAACTTATTCAAGGCACTGATCAGACTGAATTTGGACTGAAAAATGGCTGTAGTCCAAGTAGACAGGTATCGTTTCATTACTTTTATTATGATGTATTTTCACCTCCACACAGAGTGGGAGAAAAGTTTTTTTACGGGAGAAGGTTAGGGGCAGGGCTATGGGAGCCTCTGCCTCTGCTGGCCTCTGGAAAGAGGCTTCGTAGCATTCGATGCATGACCTGCAGGTTCTGTAACAGCTTTTTCCCTGCTGCCATACGACTGTTAAACTATTGAACCTCTAATCAAGTCACAAAACAAGACTCTGAATCACATTGTAAACTAGGGGTGTAAATCACATCCATCATGGCGATTCGATTCAGTATCGATTTCCTCACCCAACGATTCGATTATTTTTCGATACTCAAGAATACACCACGATTCGATTCGATTAATCGGTTGATTTAATTTTTTTTTTTTTTACACCTTACAGGCTAAACAATGTTTCAAGTTTGAAATAAATCAATGAAAGCTGTAATATCGTTATGTATTTTTTTTTTTAGAAACCACAGCAAATAACAGAAGCAGAAAAGTTGCATCAAAAAATACTGCAAAAATACTACAGAAAATCAGTGCAATGAGTGCAATGATATACCTCGGCTCCAGACGTCACCGCACCCTTGA